TAGGTGGCCTGGTTGCAGGGGCCCTAAGGTAAGCCGGTGCAGGGCATGTGAGACAGCTCCACTATCCCTCTGCCTCACCTCATGGCTACAGCACCACCTCATGGCTACAGCACCACAAGCAACCAGACAGAATGGGCAGGCGGCTGTCTGCATAGGCTCTTAAATAGGGCTTATTTGGGGGGGTAGGGCTTATATTAGGCAAACATGTAAAACATGTTAGGGCTTATTTTGGGGGGTAGGTCTTATATTTAGGAAAAGATGGGACATATCAGGTTTAAAGTATCTCGTATTAAAATCTCTGTGCCTATAGTGAATTTACATGGCAGGAAAATAGTTTCCTTTCCCCTAAAAATTATCCACAGCCTTTATGAAGATTTTAGTTGCCGTTCGCCTCTCATATACCTCTTCTTTTTGAGGCTAACAGAATTATTATTTTCTTTGCACTGCACATTCCCTCGCAAAACAGATTTACATATTTATAGACCTTCCCCAAAGCCACCTCGTCTCACCATTTCGTGCAGGGATGTGTGTGTGGAAAACATATTGACGTTATTTTATCAAACGGTAAATGGAACTAAATTAAAATTGCTCCCTGCATTATTTGATTTTTATGCATCAACTGCCTCCTGGATAAAGGAAGCTCTAGAAGACGGGTTGTTGTTGTTGTTGTTGTTGTTATTATTATTATTATTATTATTATTATTATTATTATTATTATTATTGTTGTTGTTGTTGTTGTTGTTGTTGTTGTTATTTTCTCCCTCACAGCCGAAAGGTGATCATGCTTCCTAGAATTTGTCGAGATTGCCCAAGAAACGGGTGTAAAAAAACTCATCCATCATTGTGAGCTCCTGGTCAGGGCCTGACAGTGCAGTAAATATCTTCCGCAGCAGCCTTTTAATGTACAAGCTGTTTTCGGTAGGGATTTTCACCAGTCACATAAAACACACTTGTCATGACTGACTGCCTGGGCTCCAAAGTCATTACAATTGGGATGATGGAACATCTTTCAGCGCATAATCCTAAAAAAAAAGAGGGGAAAAAAAAAACCCCTTTTAAATGTCATGTCAAGTTTGTTGAAGCCATTTTCAAGCCTTGTTCAAGGTTACATGAATATTGAATATTCCTTTTTGTAAAAAATAAAAAAAAAGTTTGCGATCTCTCAGGAGGTTTGTAAAAAGGGAGCTCACAACGGAATGCATTTGAAGTTTGACTGAGTTATTGTTTAAGGTCTCCCGCTTTTAAGTTTTTTTTTTAAAATCTATAATTCATTATTATTATTTTTTACTCTCCTTCGAGCACATTCTGGGAACAAATAAGGTAATGACATTTTTAGGACTTTAAAGCACAGGAATTTTGGAAGTCAGGCCTGGATTAAACATGTTCTGACCTAGGCGTCCTCAAAAAGCACTAAGCAGACTCTTTGCCCCGGCAAAACCCCTTTTTATAAAATGAAGGTGAATTTCTTGCATTCACATTCAACCAAAGGCCTGGCAAAACAGTCTTTCAAGGGTGTAATTAGGAGCACAGAGCTTATTTAGCTTGGAGAGCTGGCATATAAATATTTCCAAATGCAGTGCTGACAAGGAAGGACTTGGCACAGCGTCTCTGAGCTGCACAAACAGATCTTCATACTGCTGCAATGAACAAATTGTTTCCTTCCCCTCCCCTTTTGCTCCTCTTTTATTCCCTATGGGAGGGGCCATTCACCGTCCACCTGTGCCTTTACTCTTGAGTTGACCCTTGTTCCTTAGCTGTTCCCTTCCTCTGGCAGCTCTGTGCATGTGCACACCGGGAACAGGCTCCAGCTGTCCTTCTGCCCCACTGATCTCTGACTCCGAAGGCAGCTGATAAATGTCAGATGGCCCTGGCCCCCATCTCTGCCTCTGATGCAGAGCCCTCACCCAAGCCTTCCCTAGACTCCAGGACTGGCCCATGTTCCTCCCCAACCTCCTCACTTTCTGACTCTGTGGCCAGCTCCGTTAGCCACTGCTGGGCCACAACAAAACGGGGCCTCAGTCTGATCCTGCAAGTGGTCAGATTCTCTTGAGGATCTTCGACTTACAGCCACAATGGAGCCCAATTTGTTTTCTTGCTAAACGAGACAGTTGTTAAGCAAATTTTGCCCCATTTTTCTTGCCACGGTCGTTAACCGAATCACTGCATTTGTTGAAGGCAGTATCACATTGTTAGGTGAATCTCGCTTCCCCATTGATTTTGCTTGTCACGTGATCACCTGATCCCGGAACACGGCAACCATCACAAATATAAGTTAGCTGCTACGTGTCCGAATTTGGACCAAGCGACCGTGGGGATGATGTAACGGTGGTGAGTCACTTACTTTCAGTGCCATTGTCACTTCAAACAGTCACTAAATGAATTGTTTTAAGTCAAGGATTACCTGTAATCGTTTCCCCCCCCCCCCCCCCCCCCCCCACTGGCAGGAGAGTGAATTATATAGGAAAAAGGTTTTTTTTTTTTTTTTTGCTGTTTATTGAAATGATTGCAGTTATTTACGGACACATGTTTATATGGAAAAATATCCTTATTTGGTGTAGCTTCCATTGCAAAATAACTTCATTTGGGTTTTCGATTCCTTTTGCCTATGGACTGGAAAGTCCTGTTAATTGACTCATTGTCGTGACTGTAAACTTATTTGAGAATAAAATAGAATAGAATATTGGCAAGAAGATATAGAATAGAATACAGAATAAAATACAGAATAAAATAGAATATAGGAGAGAATAGAATATAGAATAGAATAGAATAGAATAGAATAGAATAGAATAGAATAGAATAATAGAATAGAATAGAATAGAATAGAATAGAAAATAGAATAAATAGAATAGATAGAATAGATAGAATAGATAGAGTAGAATATGAGAGTGAATAGGATAAGATAGGATTGGATAGAATAGAATAGAGTGGAGAGAAGAGGAGAGAAGAGGAGAGAATAAAGGATGGGATCTTTATTGTCACTTTAAATATACACTAATCAGCATATATTAAAATGAAATTCCATTGCATTCAGCTCTCTAAAAAGATAACCATTATGCATGTACACACACACACACACACACACACACACACACACACACACATATGACACATACATACAAACATCACAGTCTAGTTGGAACGTATACATTCATAAATAACCTCCCTCCGTCGCTATTCCTAGGAAATTGTGAAATCAGCAAACTGATTTGTAAACTTGACAAGTCAGTTAAAGCGACTGTTGGCTCCGAACAGAGAGCTAAAACGAGTTTCGCTCGTCATCTAGGCTGACAGATAAAACAAACAACAAATCCCGATCGTTACTGTTCGGAGGGCAGTTGATTCCAGCCGGATCAGCAGTTTTATACACAAGTTTGTCCGTTTCCCTTGCTGGAGGACAACCTCCAATCTTATCTTCCATTTATCCTGCTTTCGGAACTTGATGCTTCCCCCCCACCCACCCTGCAAATTTTCCTCAAGATAACCGTGACATGGGTCAGCTTGAGAAGACACTGCCGCTTGGGTTACAGAAATGGACGTTTGGACTTCTGCTTTGCTGTAGAACTGTTGGGATTGCTTCAGCCAAATCCAGCAGGAGCTGCTGTACTTTTAGTTTAGGAAATATGTAGTGGGCTTTTTTAAAAAAATAAATAAATTGAAGAACACGGTGAGAAGAATTGTTCGTATCTCTACAATACTTCTGGAAAAACCTTTAAGCTTCTCCAGTGCAATGTCTCAGGAATTTCTATAAATTCTTTGAACGAAATAAAACTTATCTCAACATAGTCTGTAGAGATTCTCAGTCATCCAGGTCATTGCTTGTCCCAAAGATGCTTTTTCAAGAGGCAACTGGACTCCCTTGGTTTTTTTTTTTTTTCTGTTAAAGACGTTTCGCTTCTCATCCAAGAAGCTTCTTCAGCTCTGACAGGATGGTGGGGAATGGGAGGATTTATATTCCTTGCAGACAGCTGGTCATTTGCATCCATTTAGAGGGCCGTTGAGGCCACTTGGGGGTTTAGATGAGAAGCGAAACATCTTCAAAAGACAAAACAAAGTCCAGTTGCCTCCTGAAAAAGCACCTTTGAGTTAACTCAATATAGACAGAATCTACATATCCTACCCAATTTCATGAATCGAGGGATGTAAAACCCCGTCTTTCCTTTTGATTCTTATCAGAACTAAATTCTTTTATCTCGACCCATGTTCTCCCTTTTGATTGAGTTAAGGCACCAGGCTAGAAAGCTGGAGACTGGGAGTTCTAGTTCTGCCTTAGCCACGAAAGCAAAACTGGGTGGCTTTGGGCCAGTCCCTCTCTCTTGGCCCAGGCCCACCTCACAGGGTGGTTCCTGTGAGGAAAATAGTAGGAGGAAGGTGTTTTGAATATGTTGGCTGCCTTGCGGTATTTGTTTAAAACAATAAAGGCAGGATACAAATCAATCGATACAACCTGAAGCTGGTTCTTTCCTATGCTCAGTCTGGCTTAATTTTAAGATCATTTGAAAAAGAAAAGAAAAAAAAAACTTGTCTGAACTGAGACAAGTTGGCAAAATGATTCTTGCCAGGCTGCCAGCTACCATGTTTTCCCTCCAGACAATTTCCCTGTTGCTGTGCCCTCCTGTTGTTCTTTCCCAGGAAAGCATATGTCGAACGTTTTTTGTGAATTTGTGCACATGCGCAAGAAGGCAGGAAGATAAAAATGAAAGGAAGGATAGGAGGAAGGGAAAGAAAGAAAGAAAGAAAGAAAGAAAGAAAGAAAGAAAGAAAGAAAGAAAGAAAGAAAGAAAGAAAGAAGGTTATATATTCAGACTAAGTGTACTTCAAAAATCAAGCAGAGAACTTCTCTCTGAAGTTGCTTTGAAGGGCAGTGGGGCTTAACAAAAGGTGTGGACATCCCTTTCTCCCCTCCAGAAAGAGTTGATGATGGGGCATTATCATATATTATGTATTATACACCTCACTATAAGTGTACAGCAAAAAAAATGGTTTGTTTTCTTCTCCTACAGACAACCAGAAAGCACCAACAGGAGAGAAGTTGCATCCGCACCACAATATGAACGGCACCCTGGTAAGGAACCCCGCGAGCAAGGACATTCATCGTGAAAACGAACCTAATTCGTCGGTAGAAAAGAGAAATGCTGTTGGAAAAAAGAAAATTCCATGCGGAGGATCCAACAGAAAGGAAGAAGTAGAACTTGGCAGTTCTAAAGGAGAAGTGATTCCTGAAGTGGAAGCTTTGCTCGCGAGATTACGAGCACTGTGAACGTTCTAACCAGTTGCATAAAATTTTGGACTCATTTAGACGTTCAAGAAAATACTTAGTTACATTATTCATAAGATTGCACCAGTTCGGAACAATGCTTCACATTATAAATACCTGCAAGTAGCTATTAGCATATTCCTAACATTGAGGGAGAAATATTCCTTATTTAAAACTCCCAGTCTCCACTGCTTTTCCTGTCATGACACCCGTTGGTAAAATATATATTTAAAAATCTTTTTAATTGCTATCACAAATAATGTTTTACATATTTTAAAGTGTATATAGATATATACATTTTGCATGCTGCTGCATATTTGTCATTGTCTTTTGAAGTGCACATTCATAAATACTTTGGGTCCGAATTAAAATTGTATTACTATATAATATATGGGCTTAATATTTTGCAACTGGTTGGGAGGCAATTAAAACAATGAAAACCGACTTCTTGCTATTGCTCACCTTTAATAACTGACATGCCTTTTCACATAAACTATTGGTTGAATGTTAGAAAAATGCAAATCAAGCTATATATGTTTACAGTTTTGTTACTAGCTCTCTGGAACGTGCAATACAATATATATCTTATTATAAAGTTTTATAAATGTTTTGGAGTGTTTGATGGGTGGCTGCATGTACTATAGATTATATGCATATATAAAACGTATTGTTATTTCTATAATAAATCTGAAATTTATATTCAACCTATAGCTGCTATTCAGATTGAAGCGTAAAACGGACTTGCTCACAGCACAAATCTAAGAACCAAAACAATTGTGTTGGTTATTTGCACATAGCCAACCTTTTGGACTCTGCTCTGCAAAAAGTTTTGTTGGATTTATCCAGAAACTTTTATTTCATGAATTATTATTGGAATAAAATTTGTGTGATTAAAAGGCAGTATTCCAGGCTGATCCTGACCAACTTAAGGTTGATTCAATCTTCCATTCTTTCAAGATCGGTAAAATGAGATTGTTGGGGGCAAGATGCTGACTGTAAACTGCTCAGAGAGGACTGTGAAGCGGTATATAAGTCTTAAGTTCTATTTCTTATACTTCCAAATTCATTTGTTCATTGCTCAGCTCTATAGATATGGCTAATCATATTGTAAATGTGCACTGTGCTGCAAATTATTTGGTGACACTACTGTTTCGTGAAGGAAAGCAATCTTCAAAATAGTGTACTGAAGGCACTACTAAGGTTTGTTTTTTCCTTTGGTCTATTTATTTCCAAACAAATAAAATAATGCCAAACACATTTCATTTATTTTAATGTATTTACCTGCCATGTTCAATCATTACTATATTTCTTGTTTGTTTCAAAACAAAGACTTTTGAACAAGCATCTTTGTGAATATCAAACTTTATTGCTTACGTATATGCAAAATCTACCCTTGTGGCTTATTTTGTCCAGAATTCCCAAGAATCTACTAAATCATCACAGCCACAAGGAAAAAAATGGGCACATCCAGAATATTTGTTCCTAAAACAAAAGTATATATCCTTTCTTGCTAAAAGTTTGTTTTATGCAAAAAGTTTGTTTGGCTGGGGAATTCTGGGAGTTGAGTTTGAAGAACATTGATGATAGATGTTCCCTTCCATTGGTACTGATAGAAGTCTAATAGAAATAAATGACCACGTGCCATTATAATGAGAATCTCCCTCTATCCTGTAAGCCACATGGAAATAAGGCAGTGAAATAATGATGTTCCATCATGTAAAACAGCATTAGAAAAACACTTGCAAAGATGGAGAGCTATCCAGAGATCACTCATCTCTGTTACAGGTTGGGTACAGCAAAACTGCCTTCAAGTCGAAGTCCAGGTATGATGACTTCACAGCCAATTACGAACAGTAGATTAACTCTTATTTCTTCTGGGAAGTGAGCTATTTTTCTTTCTCTCTGTGGTTAGCCAAACTCTAGTATACTAAGAACCTGCCAACCTTAAGGATGTAGTTTTTTGCTTGTTTGTTTGTTTACAATTTACAGCCTCCCAAATTGGATTGCATTCTGCTCTTCTTTGTATATTCAGTTGCCTTTGCCCGTCAAGGTAGCTTTGCTCAATCCACCTACTCAAAAAAGTTGACTTTCAAAAATATAACATAACATAGATAAGATAACCTTATTGTCATTTTTTACCGTGAGTGCACACAACACACACACACACACTATAATATAATATCTATAATTTTCCATGAATGTTTTCTGGAACAGATATAAAGATACAAAATACTTGGATATATGTATGAATTCTTTCCCACTATGGTCTAGATCAGTCACCAGGGTGGATAAATCATTCTATTAAGAAAACCTCAATTTATTAGACTACACAAAGTTTTATTTCCTTATTAAACTGAAACACAACAAGATTTGTAATAACAGATTGTATATCCACAATTTGTGTTCCCATTACATTTTTATTTGGCAATTTGGAATGAAGCAACTTGGGTTGCGTTATGTGATTGTTCAGGAGCATGGAAGACCATTATAGACCTCTGGATTTTAAAAAGGAGACATGGTCAGTCCTTAATATTGGGCTGGTTCCCTCCCACACTTTTTTTTTTTTTTTTACAATTCTTCTGATTAAATGGGATTTCCTTGTTATCTCTTCAAAAGACCTCTTCCTTCCTCTGAAGTAGTGAATCCATTTTGCTCTTCCAGATCATTCTGAGGATTGACATCAAATCTCACCCAGGAGAATTTAGATTTGAGCAACCAAGGAGAACTTACCTAACAGATCTAAACAAGGCACATTGATAGTTATCACATGTATGGGGAATTTAAAAAAAATGCTTGTACTCTGTAACTTTTACACAATTTACCAAATGTATTAATTTTTCTTTATGACAATTCAGATAAAAATAATCATGTTTTAAGGCACTTGTTTAACAATGTCATTTTCACAAGCCACAGTTTTAAATGAAATCCGTTAAGTTACTTCAGTTAAAATGGGTATTTCATTTTGTTAAATCATTCGCAGAGTTCATGGAAAACTTTAATCCTTTGAACTCTGACTTCAGGATGGCGGTTTTTTTTTTTACTGTTAAAGTTAAAGTTGCAAACTAGGTTGGCGTTCTATTGAGTTTCATAATGGTAGAATTCATTCATTTCTCTCCCCCTTCCTTCTAATGCACTATTTATTTTTCTGACAGTTTCTAAAACAAGAATTCCCAATCTGACATCCTTCAGATGTATTCAGTGAATCTTTATATACTTTCTAAAAAAGCAGAGAAGCCATTTCATCAATAAAATTGTTCATTTGTTCATTCATTTAGTCAGCTTATGGGGATAAAATATGAAGTTATCTGAAAAACTAATTTTCTTATTTTGGATCAGGAGATATACCAGATAGCAAAGAAGGATAGTTATCTGAGATTGGGAAGGTGAGGTAATAGTGCTAAATGTGTTGTTTGATTTCACTGGAGGGACCTGAAATTGCATTTCGTGCAAAATAAAGCAGCTGAAGCTAAATTTCTCTCAAGGTCACAATGGAAATAATGGTTGATGATCCAGACTTGTGTAGTCAAATATATGTTAGAAGGCCTATTCCCTTGCCTTATTAAATAGCTGTCAGAATGAAGGAAAGAACACAACTATAACTCTTACCAAACTTAACAAAACTTTAAAATAGTTCAAAATAATTTTAAAAGGGCAAAAGAATGTGGTCCAGAAGGAAAACTCTATAGTTTATTTCAATACAATGGACATAAAAACATTCAAGAAGGCTCAGTGTCTGATTCTTGCTTTAGACAGCTAATAAACTGTGTGTTTCTCACAGTAAACTGTAGAAGAGACTGTAGACCATAGACAATAACTCAGGATAATCCTAATTTAAATTTCTTGACAGAACAATGAATCAGTGGAATGAGTTGGCTCGAGAAGTTGTGGCTTCTCCAACACTGGAGGTTTTTAAGAAGAAATTGGACAATCATTTGTCTGAAATGGTATAGGATTTTCTGCAAGAGCAGGGGCTTGGACTAGAAGACCTCCAAGGTCCAGTGGTGGTATTCTACCAGTTCGGCCCGGTTTGGCCAAACCAGTAGCTCCGACGATCATCTGTGAGCGAACCGATTTGCTCTGATGATCAGCTGCTGGGCCCATCTGCCCACCACGGCTCCATACTGACCTTTATTTCCTGTTTTTCAGCCTCAGCTGCTTCACACAGCATTGCCCATTGCCGTGTGTCAGCTGTTTTATGCACAGGGCTTGCAGCAGAAGGTGAGTTGCAAACACTGTGCGCGTGCGCGCATCAAGCACGCTCTTACACCAAACCGGTAGGAAAAAGTTTTGAAACCCACCACTGTCAAGGTCCCTTCCAACCCTTATTCCATTATTTTAATAATAATCAGGACTGAAATGATATCCCAAAGGTACTTTTTTTCAAAAGGCAACTGGACTTTCTGGTTTTTCTTTGAAGATGTTTCACTTCTCATCCGAGAAGCTTCTTCAACTCTGACTAGAGGGTGGTGGGGAATGGAAGGATTTTTAGTCCTTGCAGACAGCTGGTCATTCGATTTCTCTTTACCTTAACGACTCACTAAAAGGATGCAAATATCCAGCTGTCTGCAAGGAGTATAAATCCTTCCATCCAGTCAACTGAAGAAGCTTCTTGGATGAGAAGCGAAACATTAGGTACTAATACCACTCTATAAACCTTAGTAAGACCACACCTAAAGTACTGCATCCAGTTTTGTTCACCACATTATAAAAAAGATGTTGAGACTCTAGAAAAAGTACAGAGAAGAGCAACCAGGATGATTAGGGGACTGGCGACTGAAACATACAACGAACGGTTGCAGGAACTGGGCCTGGCTAGTCTAGCGAAGAGAAGGACCAGGAGAGACACGATAGCAGTCTTCCAATATTTGAGGGGCTGCCACAGAGAGGAAGGGGTGAAGCTATTTTCCAAGGCACCTGAAGGCCAGACAAAGAATAATGGATGGAAACTGAACAAGGAGAGATTTAACCTGGAAACAAGGAGAAACTTTCTGACAGTGAGAACAATCAACTAATGGAACACCTTGCCCTCGGAAGTTGTGGGAGTGCCATCATTTGAGACTTTCAAGAAGAGATTGGAATGCCATTTGTCAGAAATGGTGTAGGGTCTCCTGCTTGGGCAGGGGGTTGGACTAGATGACCTACAAGGTCCCTTCCAACTCTGATTATCTGTTATCTTCAGAGAAAAATGAGAAAGTCCAGTAGCCTCTTGAAAAAACACCCTTGGGACAACCATGACCTGGATGACTGAGAATATCCATCGACATTGACCCAAATGATAATGCATTGAATCTGACTTGGGCATGTTTAGCAGCCCACCTAATCTAAAAGGATATAAAGCTAGATGTCAACTTGTAAAACATTCCTATGCTGTTTCCAAGTTGCCATGAGAAAGAGGGGGAAAAGTTTGACGTTTTTTGAAGCTTGGCTCAAGGCTTATGATTTAATTAGGGTGATCGCCGGAATCCTGACACTAGAATTTTTGAGAAAGAGCTTTAGAAGATAATCATCTGATGAAATGGACTGCAGTTGATGAAGCTTCTAAGATACAAGAGAAGGCAACATACCTTTCTTTGCCTCTAACTCACTGCAGTACACTGTAACTCCTTTTTGAAGTTTCACGTCTCATTCCTATTGGTTC